GGCGAAGCTCTCGAACAGATTGTCCTGTCGGCGCCCTCGACTCTTTAAAGTTCTGGCAATCAGGCCCTGGCGACCCGGCAACAGCAGAAAAGTTTGAACTCTCGGCCGACGACATCAAGCCGACCTTTGTGCCCGCTCGCTTCCCGAAAGACGCAACGCCCGAGATCATCGAAGACATATTATCGCAGCCACAGCAGCTCGGATGCCAACACTATGCTCGCAACGTCAAGCTTCAGTGCTCGACTTGCGACCGTTGGTACACATGCCGCTTCTGTCACGACGCCGCCGAGAAACACGCCCTTATCAGGAAGGATACTAGGAACATGCTGTGTATGGTGTGCGCCTGTCCGCAGAAGGCTGGTGAGGCCTGCGTCAACTGCGGCGAGGTCTCGGCTCATTACTATTGCAACATTTGCAAGCTGTGGGACAATAATCCTAACAAGAGCATCTACCACTGCAGCGATTGCGGCATCTGTCGGCGTGGCCGGGGCCTGGGAAAGGACTTCTTTCACTGCAAGGTGTGCTGCGCTCATGTTGTTGTCTCTGCCATCATCAGCTAACCAGGTGGCTCCCAGAAATGCTGCGCCTGCATCTCCATCTCTATTCAAGACTCACACAAGTGTATCGAGCGGTCTACCGACTGCGACTGCCCGATTTGTGGCGAGTACATGTTTACCTCTCCGAGGCCCGTTGTCTTCATGGTTTGCGGTCACAGTATTCACGCCAAATGCTATGACCAGCATATGCAGAGCTCCTACAAGTGTCCCATCTGCAACCGCAGCCTCCTGAACATGCAGAGCCAATTCAGGCAGCTGGAGCTATCTATCCTCAGCCAGCCCATGCCCTTGGAGCTGCGCAACACTCGTGCTGTGATTCTGTGCAACGACTGCAGCGGCAAAAGCACCGTCCCTTATCACTGGCTCGGACTGAAATGCGCCATATGCAACTCGTACAATACGGCGCAGATTCGACTGGAGAACAGTCCATTTCCAGAAGACGCCACCGGACATCCGCCGGCGAACCCTCTTACCGAGTCGACTGGCTCATTGGGTGCCGTGGATATGCCAGGCACACCTAGACGGCGCCACTCTTCCCTGACGGGCGTGCAGCTCCGGCATGCCGCACCGCTGCCTGATCGATTGGCAAGGTCTGCATCGCCGCCCCTGCCGCCGGGGTTGGCCGTGCCCGTGCCCGAGGGAACAGCTGTACATGATGCAGACGATGCCGATGACTCTGATGAAGACATGCTCGGCCTATGGGGCACCCGTTTTCACCGGTCATCTGATGAGGAAGAGGATGACGTGGAGTCCCTTTCGGACGATGCTGGTGGCGACGACGACGATGACGACGAGGTGGACGATGAAGAGGAGGAAGACGACGAGAACGAAATAGTGCTCTTCGGACACCGCTGAGTATTAAGCTACGGTTCAACGTACACGAAAGGCAAAGGGTCCTTGTTAGAGACCTGGATCACGGTGTTTGCGTGCTTTTTCTTTCCCTCTGCTATGTTTTTTGCATCATGACTGGAATGAGACATATCCTAGGGCGGATGTATGAATGGGGATATGGACTTCTCATATGCCGGTCTTCTCTGGCTTGGGCGTTGGTATGGCTTGGCTGGGGCAGAGTGGTTACATGCGTGATACGGCGACGGGATTTTCGCTCAAGGAGGAACATTTGGTCATGTGGCCGTTACATAAAAGTTGCAGCTTAGCTTGCCAGCATCTTACTCTTCTTCGTCACGATGTTACCGCTGCGCCCAGTGACTGGTTGTAATGCGTTGCGCTGGCAGGTCACGGTTTCTCCAACTCCAACTGCACGGTGGTCGTTCACTTTCTCCTCTGACTGGCCTCCTTGGCCTTCATGTCCAACTCGACCTCTTGAGCTTCTTTCCTCAGCTCCTTGACGACCGTCTACCTCTCACGTCAGTGCCTAGTACATTGGGGGACATGGTCATTTCATAGTAGGCAGGGGCACAGCTCACAGCAAGCGCTTCGGGGTTCACGCCATTCTCAATCATGGAGATGCAGATCGATAACGTCCGGCGGTCGAGCTGGCAATTCTACTATGCGTTAGTCAGGCCTGAGGTTGGCGTGGGGGAGGGGAGGAGGGGGGTTGGCGCCCGAGAGCACTGAGACGGAGATGGGGCGCACTGACGAGGATGGTCGAGATCTCGTGCAAAATGTCTACGGCCTGCTGGGCAGCGGCCTGCTTCTCTTTGCGTTCATCGGCGGGAGGCGGCATTCTATATCATGGTTTGACACGATGTCGCGCGCGCCTGGATGAACGAGAAGGAGCTGGATGAGCGGGACTGAGCGTCTCCTCGTGTTGTTGAGACCAAAGGAAAACGCGTACTGGGTATGTGCTGGCTAAGGTAGGTAGGTACCTAAGCTTGCTAAGGTAAGGTGCCCCAGTGGCAGGTGCTAAAGTGGTGGGCTTGGTGGGGTCTGTCGCGCCTGCTGTTCTCAGCTGCGTGGCGGTGGCACCTGCCTTGCCCATCTGACGCTTAATCTACGGCGTCCCCGGATTTTCTGCCGCCGGCCGGCGATGGGTCCCAAGCTGCAGAATTTCTCTTCGACATGGAACGACAGGGGGACCTTGGTCTGGCAAATCATTTTCCGAACCCGTTCGCTCATCCAACTTCATTTTGAGATTCTGGACTTGTCGTCCCTCCGTCCTGACGACCCATCAGCCGGCTACGCATGCCCACCCTTCTCCGAGTCCGGTGCCACCCGCCTGCCTAGGTAGCCAGCAACGAACTCTCGCTGCGGGCTGTCGACCGACCCTCGCTCTGCCGGTCCTCATTCGCCCGATCATGCGCCGCCGACGACTCATTCATCTTCACGATATGAGAAGGAGGGTTTTGGAATCGCACCGCGCCGGCTTGGACTTGAAAGACTCACGCAGGTCGGATGGCTGCGCCCGTGGATGAGAGGGACCGCGTTTATGGTCCCACGCGGATCACTCTCTTGCCCTATGAAGGGACTGACGATGGCGTGCCGACGCTTCATGCGAGCAGGGCTACAAGCCAAGGTAGGTGGTTGTTACCACTCTGCAGTACGGAGCAACTGCTGATCGAGTGGCAGCACCCAACTTTCACATCGTGAAACAGCCAGATGTGTGGTACCCTTCATCGACAACGGTCAAGCCAAACGCCATCAGCTGGGATCTTCAGAAACAGCACAAGCGATGGCTGGCCGGCACGCACCCAGAGGCATTCACCGGCATGTCCGATCTCCTTTCAGATCTCATGTGCGAGTCCAATGAAGCCACGCGGTCTGCAAATCATCCTCTCCTGGCGATCGGCCAGATGGCCAATCTTACGGATCCCCGACGCCCGCGCGTCAGACCTGTCATCGCCATGGCTGCAGGCGAATCCGGACAGCTCTTGCGCCTCAGTGCTCTTCGAGACTCGACGTGGCGCTGGGGCACGCATCAGAGCCCCGCACTCCATCGACTACACCTTGACGCCGACGACGTCGACGAGGTGGCCCACTGGGCGCACGATGACAGTCCCATCTCACAGGTCAAGCCAGCAATGAGCTTGGTGGGCAATGAGCCTTCACGCTACATCATTGTGCAGAAGAAACTGGCAACAACGGTCCTCAAGCCACAGTATCGGACGATTCCTGTGGCTAGGGAACATTCAGGCGTGGGAGAGGATCGCGAACGGCCCTCACGAATCGATCCAAAGCCTATCATGGTGGTCTCGGATCACGACACTGGAGGTCGCCCACATGCTGATGTTTCTTACTGTCCAGGGTCGGAGGGCAAGCCGGAACTTTTAGCCGTGGTAGATGACTTTGGGTATTGGTACGTGTGGGAGATGCAGGGCCGGTCGAAAGTCACGCGTCCCGGATTGGAGGCCAATCTTCGATTTCACGGCCACATTGAGCAGGGGATACTCGACGTTGCACCAACACAGACCGAAACGACAATGCTGGCGGCGACGCACGGCATATTGTGGATCGGCGCTTCCGGGTCAGACTGGAATCACTGGGACGCTGCGCTGGTGGCAGCGGTGGACTCCGGAGGCATTCCCCCAAGCGCTTCCTCGCGAGCCACAGCTTTCATTGTTTGGAGTCAAAAACAACTTGCACTTGTTGACTTGCGAACTGTCACATCAGCCATTCTCGACTGTCCGGTACGGACCACGCCCAAAGACTTGATCCTGGATGTCAAACAAAACCCTGCCAACCAGCGCCAAATATTCGTCCTGACGACTACAAGCCTGTTCTGGATCGAGATTTCCCCGCCAGTGGCAGCTGGTCAGACTGCGAGTGGACCCAGGATTCTCCTATCGTGCGCCCACCTACGGAGCGCCAACAATCGATTCCTGAAGCTGAAGGTGCACCATGGCTGGTCAAGCCTCGGCGACGATGCTAGCCTTGTTTGCTTGCATTCGAGCCGCAATCCTGATATTGATATTTACGCCTTCGGCGCACACGAGACGACGAGCCTGCCTCAATTTCAGCATCACATGGTCCGCGTACCAGGCATTGGCCAAGGAGAGGATGAAAATGGCCTCGAAATGCAGACTTTTTGCCTCGCACCAGCCACCTTGACCGCCTCCACGCCCTCGACGGGCCCCGGTGCAGCACACATGGACCGTGAGGACCATTTCTGGCAACTCTTTGTTCTAAATCAAGATCTTGGTTTGAACTGCTCGCTGGTGGTGGCCACATCTGGTTCTCACGATGACGTTCGCCTTCCTGACACGCTCAAGGTGACGGGAAAGAAGAGAAAGATCGTGAATCAGCGAAGAACAGCTTTTATCCAGCAGCTTGCCGAAGTCTTCGCAGTGCCAGACGCCTTTGGCGAGATGGACGAACTCTTCCGACTCAGGCAAGGAGCTGGCGGGGACCTGGCACTCATACAGGATGGTCCGGGCTCCGCACGACGTTGGCCAAGGAGCAAGGTTGAGGGCGTTGACCTGCTGTTCTTCCGCGTGGGAGTTTCGATGGAGACGGTGGCGATGGAGAGTCGAAGGGTTGAGGCTAAAGGCTCATTCCAAGGGTTCGACCTAATCCATCGGGCAGTGGCCCAATGCCTCGGTATGGAGGACCAACAGCTGCCGCTGAGCACATTGTAAGATTGACACGCAGCGATCTTGATGCACACAAATACTGACATGAACAGGCGAGACTATCAGCCCGCAATGGAGGCTCCTCCGATCGACGAGGCCGACGAAGAAGTCTGGGATGCGCGATTACATGAATTTTATAGTCTCAACGACCAGCGGATTGTCATCCAGTCAACGGCAGCTCGCTTTTTTGGCCTACCCGTGGATGCCACTCTCTCCTTTTCAGCTTTGCGGCGACATTGCGAAGAGCTTTGGCCGGCCACAGATGCCTCAGTCGAGGCACAGATCTCGAGACGGCTCGCGCTGGCAGAAACAGTCGAGGCCTCGATAAGGTCCCTAGTCGGTGTTCTGGCTTTTGATTTTACCTCATCCGAAGCCTACGACGGGCTCACAACATGGGTGCCAGAACCGAAAGGGCCGAAACAACCAACGCAAGCGGGGTCTTCGCAGCGGACGGTCTATCCGACACCCCGCGCCACGGCCTCTGTATCGCCCGGCCCTTCGTCGCATTTCGAGAGCTCACAGCCTGAGAGCTCTCAATCTCACACATCACAGCCAGCGTCTCAGGGAGAAGAGTGTTCCGGGCGCGCTGCAGCGGCTCAGCATGCTCGCCCGGCACGTCAACAAGGAGGCCAAGATTGCAGGTCCACCTCATCCAGTCCTTTCGTACTGGCCAGAAGAGCGTGGCGTGCCCATGCAGGGATATCAGTCGAGCGTGCTGATGGCCTCATCTCAGCGGTTGGAGGCCGTCCGAAGTCGATTCCAGCGGATAGAATCGAGGCGACAGAAGCGTAGCCGCATCATGGACGGGTCTTCACGGTCTGCGACACAGGATCTTGCAACGTCGTCTCAGATGCCCCGGCTACCTTCCTCGCCATCCATGCCAGCTCGCTCGCTGGCCTTGCCGCCGGCCCTTTCGCAGCAGCCGCAGATTGCGTTCCGGCCACTGTTGCCGTCATCGCAGGTGCTGGGCTCATCGCAACTGGCGCCGGCCATGATCATGTCGCAGACAGTGCCAGGAATACATGGGCGGCGGCCGCAGGGAAAGAAGAAGGCGAAGCGGAGGGGTGGATTTTAGGATGCAGGGACCTTGGAGTTGGTTTGTGTAGGCGTAGTCTTGAGATACCCATAAGCAGAGAAATGTGAGATTGCATAGAATGACATGCATGGTTGTGGTGACTACCACAGGGGTGGAACTATGATCATCTATGCCGGGCTACTTCCATGTTCGCAAGCTGCGCAGTCGTCTTGACGAGGAAACTGGGTCCGTGGCAAAACGATCCACTCACAACCGTTTCCCGCCAACCTCATCCAACGTCGCGGCCCTTCATCAGTAACCTCATGTCCACAGATGAAGACATCCAGTTTACCATTGTCATCTTACCTGTAGAAGACGCACCTCGAACGAAAGTTGTACCAAGCACCATGTCCTGCTCGCACGAGCATCATAGCCACGGTGGCGATGACCACCATGGCCACGAGCACGACCATTCAGACGACATCACGCCGGCGTTGCAGCACTCGCTGTACCAGCAGATCAACTTTGACGAGATCACAACGCTCAACGAGGCTGTGCCCGACAGCGGACGAGCCATAGTGAAGAAGACATGGACCGACCGGCTCAGCGTGGACGTCGAACTCGAGAGCGACGCCGATGAGCAGCTGCTCATGACCGTGCCGTGAGTTGTCCGGCGAGCTTTGTCACTCCGCGTTGCATCGCGCGAACATGTGCCCCCCCCCTTTCCCCCGCAAGAAAAATCCGCGGTGCTTTCACCATGTCGGGTCCCGAGAGCTTTTTCATGCTGACGAAAGAGGGACAACCCAGATTCACCGCCCAGGTCAAGCTCCACGCCCTCCTCCTCCGCACGTCCCCGGCGCCCTCGGCGCCGCGCACCCTGCACGTCTTCCTCAACCGCGACGACCTCGACTTCGCGTCGGCCGAGGACAGCCCGCCGACGCAGACGTTTGAGCTCGCGCAGACGTCCGACGTGCAGGAGATCCCCGTGCGGCGCGCCCTCTTCGGCAAGGTCCGCCGCCTGACGCTCTTCTTCCCGGACAACTTCTCCGCCGGCGACGACGACGTCACGCGCCTTTCGTATGTCGGCTTTCGGGGCGAGTGGACGGCGCTCGGCCGGGCGCCGACGAATATCGTCTACGAGAGCGCCGCGCGGCCGAGCGACCACACGGTCAAGGGAACGGGGATCAACCAGGTCGGGGGCGGAATCGGAGGGAGGGGGGATGGGATGTAAGGAGGGGACGTAAAGGCGCGGGGCATGGACTGGCTTTTCTCTTTCATCAGCTTGCAAGAGAAAGTCGACAGATGAAACGCGAGACGTCAGCTAATGCACTTTCACCATTCTTGGAAGGGCGTGATCATCTTGGACAGCGTGCGCCCTAGTGGCATGTCACGCCTTCGAGGTCGCAACACCATGCCTGGGGGTGGGGGGTATATGCTTTGTGGCTGGCCAGCACACCATGACCTCGACAACACCCTGACGGCCAACAGCAGACTCCTCATTGCCCTTCATAAGCAACCTTTGTCCTGTTCCTCCCACCGACGACCGAAAGAAAAAGCCACCGTGGCCGAGCCGTATACGTCGCCGAACGAACCATTCCACCGTCATCAGAACCAAATCCAAAACCCCCCACCACCCTCCGAGTTCGAGTCCAGCAGCCGGAGAGGGGGAGACAAGAGGGGGAGACAGAAAAAGATTCGCTTCTGAAGGGCGAGCGGTGATAAAATCGAAAACCGACGGCAGAGATGTAGGGACCGACTCGGTCCTGAACTCTTTTGCCGATGCTCTCCATGTTGATCACAAATGTGCCATGAAATTAGTAGGCGAGGCCCAACTTTGCCTCTCAAGATGATGCGTATTCGTGTGGGATCGATCCCCGCTACGTAGAACAGATTTGGTGGGTTGAGGGTTTTACATTTGTCTCGCTCGGTGTCCAAAATTGATCAGCACATGATCAGGAGCAAAATCACCCAAGCGTAGCACCTCTCGGGATTCAGATTTCGTAGCAGGCCTTCAAAACAGTATGTCAGGGAAGTGACCTGATCAGGCGACTGAAAGACGAGTTATGTGGGGGTTCTCGACGACGGGCCACTTTGGTCACTGTCAGTTCTTTCATGCTTTACCTTGCTCATTTTGAACGGCAAGGCATCTCGCGACAGACAACACGGTCAGGCCAAAACACGCTACGATACATCCAGAGATTGACGCTTAAACCATTCATTTGAGTAGCCAGCCCAGAAAGGCGGCATCTACCATCCGTATCTCGTACATAGCCATGTGATATCC